TGCTCTAATTTACAATTTACAAACTTTAGATAAGTCCGTTTCCTCATTTAAAATATAATTAAAATTATCAGATATTCCACCACAATTTTTTTCGTTTAAAGGTTTCTTAGACGAAGAAACAAAGAAAGGACAAGTCATATTGATATTGATAGAACAAAATTGGAATATTAACTTTAATGTCGCTCTAAAGACTCAGTCAACAGCACCCTTTCATCTTTTTTGGACTGAAGCTTATTTTTCTTCGACATGGGACCTGAAACTAACCCTTTAATTCCTATCACTGTCATTATTTTGAAAGTAATTTTGGTTTTATGGATGAATTTAAAATGGGAAACATTAATTGTTTGGTCGGTTAGGTGAGTCACATAGTCACACATGGCTGGCTCTTGACACAAGTGGCTCTTTTTTCTTTATTTTTTCTTTGACAGATATGAATTAAATTAAGAACATACAGCTTCAATGCATTGACTGGCTAATTGGGAAGTTGGAGTGTCTATCCAAAAGATGTAAATAATGGACACTTGAAAAAGGGATTGCTGTGGAACTTTTACGTATAGATTATTATATTCGGGTGATTATGTGTTTTAGTCAAAACAGCCTTTTGATGTGCATGTTTGCATGCAGATTTTGGAATTAAAAAAAGTAATAGTAAATTTGGCTTACATCCTTCAAATTCAATTTGCTGTACTTACAATCCTTCATTTTTTGTTCCTATAAATAATACCCAATTTGTATAAGTAAAAACCCATGACTAGGATCCAACTCAGTAAGTTACCTAATTAAGCATAAAATTTGATTTATTGTACTTTTTAGATTCCAAAAATACCCCCAACTAAGCTATTATTGCATTTTGTATATTAATATAGGAATCAATATGGAAACAGTTTTTAATTGGATTGTATATAATGATAGACGTTGAAATTGGAAAGATCTCCAAATGGTTGTAATGGATATATAAATTAATTTGGAAACATTTTTTTAAATTTAACAGTAAATACAGATTTAGGTAATCGGTTTGTTTAATAAAATGTTTATATTATTTTCTTTTTATGAATTATACATGACTAATAATCTACTTTATAATTGTTTATGAATAATACTAGTACATACTAATTATGTTGAAAAAATAATGTACCTATTACTTGTTCTATGAAAAATAACTAATAATCCTTTTATTGTTTGTTTTATGAAAAATATAATTTACCTAGTATGAATAGTGTACCTTTTTTTAATTTATAAAAAGTGTACATAATTATCTATTCCAATATACCTACATTATACGACATCCAATATACCTACATTAATTTTAATGTACTTACGATTCGGATTTAGGTATTATATGTCATCCAATATACCTACCATTTGAATAATATACCTACTACGAAAATATGTATAGGTAAATTACCTACATTATACGACATCCAATATACCTGCATTAATTTTAATATAACTACATTATATGTAATTATGGTTTATATGTATAGCTATATATACATATTATTCATGAACGAACATATATTATCTATCTATATATATAAAGCAAAAGGCAGAGAACGGTGAAACATTCAAAATACCAGAAAATGCCATTGGTTAATTCAAACATTAATAATTGAAATTATTAATTAAATGAGGATAATATGGTAAATTCACTTTTTTTTCTTCTTCATATTTTAAAAAAACAAAATTAGATAATAAGTCCTACTTTTATATAACATAACTACCCAGCAACACCATAATAATGGAAAAGCTAGATATTATGGATTGTTTAGAAAAAATCGCTGGATAACAAAAATGGCAAGTTTTGTAAATAAGTAATAAGAAAAATGGGCAACTTTTATCCTTCATGGCATCCGTTTTCAACTTTATCCTTCATAGCTCCCAAAAGACATAACAAAAATTGTAAAACAATTGTATGATCGGTCTGTACTTAATGATTTCTGATAGATGCAGTAAACAAGTACCGAGCACAATAATCACCATATGCTTTGTAAGTGCCTGCTTGACCAACCAGGAAAATTCATTCATGTTATATAAAACTTTTGATAAGTTCTGCTTTGCTCTAATTTACAATTTACAAACTTTAGATAAGTCCGTTTCCTCATTTAAAATATAATTAAAATTATCAGATATTCCACCTTAATTTTTTCCGTTTAAAGGTTTCTTAGACGAGGAAACAAACAAAGGACAAGTCATCCAATATTGATATTGATAGAATAGAATTGGAGTATTAATTTAATGTCGCTCTAAAGACTCAGTCAGCAGCACCCTTTCATCTTTTTTGGACTGAAGCTTATTTTCCTTCGACCTGGGACCTGAAGCTAACCAGGAAAATTCATTCATGTTATATAAAACTTTTGATAAGTTCTTAGACGAAGAAACAAGCAAAGGACAAGTTATCCAATATTGATAATGAATATTAATTTGATGTCGCTATAAAGACTCAGTCAGCAGCAGCCTTTCATCTTTTTTGGACTGAAGCTTATTAGAAGTCATCCAATATTGATATTGATAGAACAGAATTGGAATATTAATTATTAATTTAATGTCGCTGTAAAGACTCAGTCAGCAGCAACTTTTCATCTTTTTTGGACTGAAGCTTATTTTTCTTCGACCTGGGACCTGAAGCTAACCCTTTAATTCCTATCCCTGTCATTATTTAAAATGGGAAACATTAATTGTTTGGTCGGTTGGGTGAGTCACATAGTCACATGGCTGGCTCCTTACACACGTGGCTCTTTTTTCTTTATTTTTCCTTTGACATATATGAATTAAATTAAGAACATACAGCTTCAATGAATTGACTGGTTGATTGGGAAGTTGGAGTGTCCATTCAAAAGATGTAAATAATGGATAACTGAGAAAGGGAATGCTGTGAAACTTTTCTGTATAGATTATCCATGCAAGTTGAAGTTTTCCTTTATCGGAAATATATATATTCCGTTGGATGAGTTATTTTGTACATGCACTGCATTATTTGATATAAAGAGTTTTGAACTTTATTTTTCTAATTAAATTTTCATTGACGACATTGAATAATAATCACTAATTTAATTTTTAAACTCAAGATCTTTTCAAAATGATCACTAATTAAATAATAATCAATCTTAATTCAACGTGCAAAAATATTTCCAAACAAAAGATGTAAATAATGGAAAACTGAGAAAAGGGATGCTGTGGAACTTCTATGTATTGATTATTATCCGGGTGATTACGTGTGTTTTAGTCAAAACAGCTTTATGCACAGTACGTGTGTGTTTGCATGCAGTGTCTAATCTCCTTTAGAAAAAAAAGCTCTCATTTTGGGCACTGTTTTCCTCTTCAATTGTGGAAAGGTTTCCAGTAGAAAATTAATTGATGAACATGTTTTTCCCTCGACTTTTTCTTCATTCTCTCTTGGTGGTTTGCTTTGCAAATTTTGCTTTTGGAGCTACTCGATTGCCACCAGATGAAGGTATATGTATGTGTGTATATATATATAATCTTAATATATCTATGTCAAATTTCTTCCTTAATCTCCTTTCTTCATCTTATAATTATGCAAAGTAGGTACAAGCTTTCAGTAATATGATGCTTGGATTCATGACTTTGTAGTTCTTGTTTATTTAGACATTTATTTTTTCATTTCTACATATATATATATATGGTACTAATTGTATGAATTTGTAGATATTGAGTATTGAGCATATGGTGTTAAATTATTGTTGCACTTTGTTTTTTTTATATATATATATGTAGTACAAACTTTAGCTGACATAGCAAAGACACTGGGGAAGCCGAACTACTGGAATTTCAATGGAGATGCAGATCCATGCATTTATAATAGTAACCGATGGAGTAATGATACAACCGAAGTACAGAATGGCCTCTACTGT